ATCTCTTAGATTCGTTACTACATAAACGATGTCGTTTCCATATAACGGGCTGGGTCAATTATTACAATTGGGCCGTTAAAACCGTGATATGGCCCAGAACCTTGAGTTCGACAACTCTAAATTAGACTAAATTTTCAGAATTTTTGTAATTGATTAATAATAGTTAAATGCAATTTGTTGTCGCATTGTCAGTACTTGGGGGAAAAAAATTTACATAATTTTATTGAAAGCCGGCGAGTTCTGCGAATATATTGTTGATGGTGATTCAAATTTCATGCGACATAAAACTAAAAGAAAACAATTTCAAGTGAAATGACAGGAAGCTTCCTCTAATAGAGTAATAGGTCGAGAATCTTTATCTAACAGCAATAATGTATGTTTAATAAAGTAATCTTTCTTATATAATTTCCAGGAATCAATTACACACTTCCAAGTTTACACACTCATGGTCGATATCTCGTCTATTTTAATTAGTACTATTTAATATTTTTGTTCACTTTCCTTACGAACTTCTTGTACATGTTCATGATACGAACTATATATAGCGGCATATGAACAATTCCTCTTAATTTCTATCGTTAAGGAAAGCGTCATTCGTATTTTAAATTTGCGATCGTTAATTCATTACTTCCAAGTTCCAACCAATGTTTAATATACTAGTAAAATGTTCTTTTTGTTAATCAGAGATTGATAAACAAAATAACAAGTGTAATGCAATGCTACAATTGGGCTTACCACGGGGTTTATCAGTTCATCAATGCTGGCTCACCTAAGGTTATAAACAAACGTTAAGCCTTGTCTCTTCTTTTTATTCAGGCTTTGTTTGTTCTTAATCTTTCCTCCTCGTTACTCTTTCTTCTAGTTTTTTTTTCTTTTGGTTGTAATGGTTTTTCCCTGTTATTGTAAACGTTCTCTTTATTTATTTAATAAAATCTTTTAATAAAAAAATAGCATTGCTAATTATGCTATTGTTAATCTTTGATACTAATACTCGTCAATTACTAGCAAATAAAAACCGTGTATTTAGTAGCAAATAAAAATTACAAAATTAATTTGTTACAAGCACGCAAATATATATAAAACTAGATATGGACCCGTGCGTTACACGGGTTACCGATTAAAATAATCATTCTTAACTTTTAATTTTAATTTTTTAAACATAACTAAAATTATATAAACATATCTATTTTAGATAATGCAGCATTTTAATTATTTTTGAAATTGCTCACCTATGAAACACTATTTGTAGTTATGTTATACTAATTATTAAATCATCTAATATAAATATTAGCCTATATATAAAATTAAATAAATTTTTTGTTATTATAAGTTATGAAGTCATAAATGTTCATAGGTTGTATTATTGAATTTTAATAAGTTATTTACTTCCATCGGAAGAGTGTATTACATCTTATAATTTCAATGTTTACAAAATGGAAATAAACTATGACAATAAGCAAAGATGAAATTATATAGTTACATGGCATTGTCAACTTTTGGCTCATATTACCCATATTTTCGTTCTCTTTATTCATTTTGCTCGCCAGCGAGAAATTCTCAAATCTCTCTATTTCTCTCATTAGATTTCTTTTATTTTGTTTGAACCCCTCTTTCTCTCTCCTTCTCTCCCTATTTTTTCATTGTCTCCATTTCTTTCTTTCGTCGAACATTACCACCGAGTGTCACTACTCTGACCTACCACCACAAATGAATCTCACTACTATCATAATCACCACCACCATTAATACCGAATCTTGCTAATTTCGATCCACCATTTTCATCAACATTTATCGCTACCACCATCACCAAGCTTGAACCACCGTCATCAACATCAACACCACTGTTATCGCTTCTTCTCCTCTTTCCCCAACTTCGTTTATTACTCCACTTTCTTTATCTTCTACGACATCAGACCAAGCCTCTCCGACAACAACTCTAGTCTATGTCCATCACCGTTCATAATTCTTAATTTGCCTTCATTGCAATATATTCCTTGGTTATGAATATCACATGCTATTTTTAGAAAACCATCGTGATTCACAGTGTTTGCTATTATAATTGACATGATATATTTACAACAAATGATAAATGCATGTGATTTTTACATGATCATGTTATTTTTAAAATCACTCAATCACCACCTCTATAACCATCAACCACTACCATCATCACCTCTATAACAATCACATGTTACTCCTATTTCTTTCAGTATGACATGCTATTTTATTAAATGACATTGTTGGGTATCTCTATTTCGTCGTCAGAATTCTAATATTGATTTTTTTTCTTCAGATTTTTCGTGTTATTAGTATATATTTCATGTTTTTTTTCTCCAAATTAGAATACGTAATTGTATGTTTTTCTTTTGTTTGAAAGCCATTTTGAATTTTCACATATCTGAAAAAGTTAGTTTCCAAAAATTTTTTAACTCATGGCTATTTCCTTAATTATTTTTCAGTCAAATGTTAGTTACTTATATCATCCTAAAACTACTTTATAACCAAAAAAAAAAAATTTACCAATGTAATGAAGTTAAAACAATGGTGGTGTGTGAAGAAATTAGTTTGTTTGGTGAGAAAATATGAGACAACTTATTGTTTATATAAATGTGATTATTTACAAAAAAAAATTTATATAAATAATAACTGATTGTATAATTTCCTTAATCCTTTTTCTATTTTTAGTTTTTTTTTCTTGTACAATTAATAACTTATACATGTTTAGCATAAGTTTATAATCTCGATTTTTATTGAAAGAATACATATAATTTTTTTATATATACGTATATTTTTTTTACTATGATCTAACTGTTTAAATTTATAATTTTGGTATCTTTAATAATTTTTAAGTTGTTAAAAACAAAAATTTTGGTTGCTAGATGGCAAAATCTCTTATGGAAATATTGGTACAATTTCCTTATAATTAGCTTTTTTACATTTTAAAACTGTTTACATTTTTAATTTTCTTATAATTATGTTTTTACCTTTTTAATTAAAAAGGAAAAATTATTTGACACATATCAAAATTTGAGATCGAAATCTTTGACACGTGTCACGATCTCGTGAGTTATTAACATTGAAAACCATACTTTATATAATAAGATATCTAATCATTTTGATAATCCTTTGCTTTCATAATATCCTATACTATTATTTGGGGAGTACAATTTACAAATAACTAACTTAAAATGAACATATAAAATTTGATATCTAAATTACCATATTAATTTGTTATTAATCATTAAACTTTACCTCTCATCTTTATATGATTATATTTATATGAAACAAATAAATCATCATATCATCTACATAATAAAAAAAAAAGTAAATTTTTTCTGCATATGAAAAGATTTGAATTTTTAAAAACGCATATAAATTGTTCAATCTATTGAGTAATATATTTCTTTTACACAAAAATAAATTCAACAAAAATTCCGACTGAGCAACGGGTCAGAATTTGAATATTTATATTTGATTTCATACATTTATTTTTTTTGAAATTTATAATTTGATATACTACAATAAAAAATTAAATATTTTAATTTGCAACATTTAAAATAAGTTTTACTTGATATTTTTAGAGAATATCATCAATACTTAATAGTTCAAAAAGTTAAAAATTATAAAATTTGATTATTTTTAAAAATATTTATAATAGGTAGCGGTTTAAATATAATATATTATATGATGAAATGAGTTTTGATCTTTATAACTATTTGAATAGTTATATTTAATTTCATATAATTTGTTTTTTGAAATTCATAATTTTATAAACTACAAAAAATTTAAAGATTTTAATTTGGAATATTTAAAAATAGTGTAAAACATTTAAATATGGTTTGACACCTTTAAATATTTGAAAATTTGATTCCGCAAGCAATTTTAGAATTAACGAATACTAGATTGTGCACGCAATATTTTAAAATGAAATATTGAGATTCTAAAATAAAAATATAGACTTTACGCACGGGTTGATTTTGGTATTATTATATACTAAATATATGTTTATAACATATTCGATTATGCGAATAATTGGTAAATTCTGTTAAATCTCAAACAAATTCTGTAATTATACTGGCTCAAACAAATCTCTATTTCAACAACCAAAGAATTGTAAATTGAAAAAGAATTTTCTAAATCAATTCAAAACAATAACTAATTTTCTTATTTAATTCAAAATAATCTATGTTTTATATGAGATTCATTTATGATATTTTAATCTTTGATCTAACCGAAATATATGCAATCTTAGTTTGTGGTTGTTAACATAAATTAACTCATTGTTCAAAAAATATTACTTTTTAAAAAATAAAATTATTTTCCGTTTTCATATCTTAAAAAAAATTATACACAATTTAGTATTATAAAAAAAAATCTATATTTATTATAATATTGTATATAGGGACTGACAAAAAAATTAATATTTTTTTAGTATTATAATATATTAGAACTTATTTCTAATATATATATTATATAAATTTTATAATAAATAAAATTCAACCCGTACTTTAATACTAGTGATGATCTAGTATAATAGTTAAATCAACAGCACAACGCACACATTTGGCCTTTAATAATTTATTTTATCTTATTTGATATCACTTTTGAAAGATATATCAGATCGGGTATTTGATTTTAATAAGTTAGGTACATGTATTGTTTCCTATCAAGCGATATGGATAAATCTTGACTCGTGATTCATGTGCTGTTATATATACTTAACTATGAATATGTTACTGTTTTCATCAATTATTCTAATGGCCGAAAGGTAAAGGTATTGAAAAAAAGGAGAGTGATGAAGCCAATAATTAATTCCATATCATGATTAACTTCGAAAAAGAATAAGTGGCTTTAATCAGTATCTTAATTAGTTATATACCTAGTTGCAGCATAACTAATTGGTTCTCAAATGAAACCTATTATATAATGCCACGTGAGGGAAATAAAATAACAAGATTCAATTCATATAATAAACTATTAATTGTTTTTACATGTTAGCTTGTTCCATAAGTCTCATTAACTGATAAATTGAGGGCAAGTCTAAGAGCTTATGCTCTCCTCAAGACGAAAAGAGGATTAGATAGAGAGTAAAATATCGATGAGCTCGGTAGAGAAAGTGGTGCCCGTCAGGGCCGGTTCTACGAGTTATGGAGCCACAAACAATTACGGTTTGGGGGTCTCATAATCTATATATAAATTTTTTTTTTACTGTTTGGGGGCCCCAAAATCTATACATATTACTCGTTAAAAATTTGGGGGCCCAACACGAATGTTTCACCCGGCTGTGCTAAGTTACGGCCCTGGTGGCCGTAGATGACGGAGAGTGGCGACAGCCGCGGTTGGGGCTGAAACAAGGGAGTGTGTTCCCAAAAGAGAGGAAGCTGGTGAAGTCAATGATTATGAAGACTCTCTTTTTATCTCGATCTCCTTTAAAGTCCAAGCAGATAGTAGAGCTTCCGAGGAACAAGCGCGTGCAGCCCACGCTCCGGTAGCCTTCAAATGATTTTTGGGGGTAATAATTATGGGTCTTTCCGTACTGAAGACAGATCATGTTAAACATGTCTCCCGAATGATCTCTCTTTCTTGGAAAGAGTTTGTACTATATACGATGTTTTTTTTTTTTTTTTTCGTTTTGTCTAAGTAAATCCGATGTGTTTGTGTTACTAAGTTGAATAGTTTCTTTGTCTTGATTCCTCGCGTTTAGTGTTAATATAAGATTTCTTATAATTTACTGCGATTAATGTATAATGCATGATCTCTATATTGTTTTCATTAAAATCAAAACCTGAGAAGAGATTGAGAGGGTTCAAATTAACGCTAAAAGCATAAAACCAATGAGTGTTCAATTAGTAATCGGAAATTTAGTTTATTGGCTTATATATTAATTGTTTAGAATTAAGTTAAAACCTTTAAGATATAGATAATTAAGTTTGTAATCTAAACCCATAAAAAGGTTGGTAATTGCTTCGGAATATGATAATAACGGAACTACGAGATTGTTAACTATAGCCAGCACTGCCTAGATGGTTCACCAAAGTTAAAATATCATTTAATAATGTATTAGAGAATAAGAAAATATCATACTTAACGACGCTGCTAATTGGTTGAAAAAGATTATAGTCTGGATTCATAGACCATCGTGATCTTACCACTACATTCATTAAAAATCAAAGTTCTTTCAAATATACATATGTATATATATATAGTCGAGAAAAAAAATTATTAAGGAAAAATCGTGAAAATATATTATAGTGGACCGTAATGTTTTTTTAGGGAAAAGGCTATGAAGTGTCACAAAAAAAAGAGAGAAAAAGGCCATGATTTTTGTTATATATCCTGACATGATTTATTGACAGTACTTAGAAAAGAGATGTTGTTCAAATCTATAGTAAAGCGAATCACAAGGACACATCTTTTGTCTCCCTCTTTATATGTTGCTCCTCTGTTTATCAGAATCTATTTAGTCAACGCTCACTGTAAAATAGATTACGAAATAATTATCGTTAAGTACTTAAGTTAGTCATAATTTTAAACAGATTCAACAAAAACTATGAAGGAACAAATTAAAAAAATTGATTAACGTTAACAAAAATAACCTTTTCTAATATACATATATATAAGGTCAAAATAGAAGTCAATTAGACTTTTTACTATCTAAAATTTATCTACTGTTCATTTAAGAAATAAAATAAACCTTATGTTTAAAGTCAAAAAGGAAAAAGAAAAAAAACTTGTGTTTCGGATCTTGCTTGATCTTTCCGGGACATTGTACTAATTGGTAGACTGGTGCTTAGTTCCCAAGTTGACGTCCAATCCTTTAACCAAAAATATAAATTGGTACGCAATCCAATTCGCTAGCGGATTAATTAGCGACAATTTTCATCATTTGCATGGAAATTTCGTGTTATAACCTTTTTTTTTTTTACTATCCGGGGACTTAAGATATATCCAAATGTTATGAAATTAATCGTAAATTTCGTGCGAGTTTTCTTATCTATCGAAACTTAAATTATAAGTAGACGATATTTTAATTTTCCTCTTTACACAAATGGGTGGCTGACACGTAGTGTGGAGGTGGATCAACTTGGGGCAGAAGTTTAATTCTTAAGTGCTCACTCGTTGGGGCGTATTTCTATATAAATCAATACACTTAGTGCATGGCTTCATAATTACAACAACAAAAACAAACAAACACATATATACATACGCAAACACAAGCATAAACACATAAATACAGCTACAAAAGATGAGTTCCAAAGGTGAAAAATCTAGTTCCACGGCGGAGCGGGAGGCAAAGAAAGAACCAGCGAGTGTGATTCCCGTTAAGAGGAAGCTGGTGAAGACTATGGCCGTGAAAGCAATTTTCTCTGCCATTTCTTCCTCTGGTTGCAGCCGGAACCCAGCTGACTCTTCCGGCAACGGTAACGGAGGGAGCGTGTACCCCACTCGTCATTGATCGGTCTTTTTATTGGGTTTGAAGATATATGCGCCGTCGTCATCTTTTCTGGTTTTTCGTTTTGTTTTGTTATGTTGTTGTTTAACATTATATATAGAAGCTGGTTTTCTCATCGTGTAAGCATTTCGTAACGTTTCTCTTACAGAAAAATCTAAATGTGATCTTATAATTCAGTTTGTCCAAAAAAAAAAAAAGTGATCTTATAATTCAGTTCCCGGTAGAGTGATTATGAATTATGAATATGATATCCTCTTTTGTAAAAAAGTAACCAAGTTGTGATGATTATGACGGATTGCGATTATGGTTTTTACTATTTAAACAACACTCCTTTTGATATCATTAATTATCATACGGATAGTTTCTTAGTAACTGTCTAATTCAATATGTTATTGTGCTGTCTAATAAGAACACCTCCAACGGAGGTTTTTCATAGAGTATATGAGAAATTAAAAAAATAAAAAATAATTAAAAGAAAGAGAGAAAATCAGAAACGTTTCTCGCTTGAGTAACTGTGAGAAACTGTGTCTCACACATCATTTGACTGATTCAAGTTTTTTTTAATTAATTAAAATTTAAATAAATAATTAATTTATAACAAAAACATTAAATTACTATATTTGAGAAAGTTTCTCTCCGTTGGAGATGCTCTAATTAGGTTTAACGTGAAATCAAAATGGGAGGAGCCGATGAATGAAATTCTTTTCACCAGACTTGTTCTTTGTGTGTGTCGAATTGTGGAAGCATGTGGGCTTTTGTTGTATTTTTCGTGTGTAATACGGATCTAGCTATATCGACATAATCATTGATTTCTAATAGACATATGTGCGCGTGTTTTTTTTGTTTTTTCTTTTCTATTTTTGTTGAAAAGTTTTGAAGATTCTATTATATACGGAAATTTTAATTAATAAATGACGAATAATCTGCTAAAGTGAAGAGAATGACCATCAAACTTAAAAGAATTTGGTAAAAACAATTCATGCAAAGTAAAAGACAAGTTTACTCTTATTCAATTACCAATGGACATGGCTCAGGATTGATTCATAGATGCAAGAAAGAATGGTAACTTAAGTGATACAAAAAAATAAATGAAATTATAAATATATATATATATATATATATATATATATATTGTATCGCTGCAAAACTATTATTATTTTGATTATCTTTCCATTTTGGATTACTGATTTGATAATAAATTACAATGGGAACAGTACCCCTATACTACATATATAAGTAAATAGCTACCAATCAAAGGCATTGCTTAGTGTTCTTTCTTATCACTAGAAACTATTTTAACGCTTTAGTTCACCGGTCGAATCCAATACAAACTAAATCATCGTACAGATTTTCTCTTTTTCTCACCCATTTTACATTACATGTTTTTGCCGCCTTTTCACTTAATAATAGTTATGAAACAATCGAGGTGCATAAGTAGATCTCCAAAACAACGAGTCAACGACCATTCTCAGAGATCCAGATTCACCGCTCCTAGACTTTAAGAAATGTTCATTTTGATCAGTTTGTTCATTATCATCTAACTTTTTTCGTTTCATATCTATCAATTTAGGAACTGAAATTAAGTATTTTGATGAAAATGGATTTACCCTCATAGTTCTAGCTAGTTATTCATCTATAAATTTGATTACACTTATTTAAAGAAATATTTTGGATTAAAATTATCATATGATATGATGAAAATGAAATAACTAATTAACCAATGATAATTAATGATTAAAACTCAAGGTAGCTCAAAGTCGTCAGATCGAGTTTTAATTTGGAACCACTAACAGTGTTCGTATCGATCCGTACGTAAATATTTATTTGGGCTCATGTTTCATGTGACAATATATTTGATGATATTAATATATTACTGTTAAGTGTTAACATAAGACTAAGACATAAATTATTATACTTCTTAAAGGCCGAAAGGTGAAAGTGGAAAGGAAAAAAAGGGAGAAAGGGAAGACGCTATCAAATCTGGTCCATATATATCATGATGATTAATTAACTCGGACAAGCATAAGTGGCTTTCAATCACTAATTAAATAACTAATTGTAGCATAATTGGTTCTTCGATATGAAGCTTAACATATCTGCCCCGGGCACGTGGGGAATGATTGACAAATTAAGAAAACAAAAATTCGAATTTAGAAAGATCGAGATCTTGAAGGCATTAAAGATTTTAAATACCAATGAATGTTTTTAAGTTTGGGGTTATGGTTTACAAAATAAGCTAAAACTAAAACACTTCGAAAGAAAAAAAAATTATAACAATATGTTTTTCTTCTTTAATTTCGATGGAATTGAAACAACTCATATGAATAGGAAAAACTGGTCGATTAATGAACATGTAGTTTATTCGCTTATCAAATTTTTAGTTTGAATAATTAAAATAAGGTAGACGAAATTAAATAGAATCATATGAACAGTCATGCAAGTAGCTTCCGAAGAAAAAAAGAATGAAACGTAAGACATTATTTTAAATGCCTTTTTTGTCAAATCAATTAATTAAATAAATAATTAGAAAGTGAAAACACTCTGAATTTTTAATATATGAACAAATTTTATTGATGAGATCTGGTAAACCTAGAAAATAAGTACAATCATTAATTAAAAACAACCAAACCAAATACTCCCTCCGTATTTTAATAAGTGTCGTTTTAGAATTTTTATTTTTTTGAATTGGATGTCGTTTTCAAATTTCTATACAAAATTTATTACTTTTTAATGGTTTATGATATCATAAAACATTAAAAAGTAAAAAAATTTGCATAAAAATTAGAAAACGACATCTAATTTTTAAAAAAAGAAAATCCTAAAACGACACTTATTAAAATACGGAGGGAGTAATTAGTAGTCATTTCCCAAAATTTTGTCGACATAACACGTTCAATGTTTAAAACAATAAAAGAAATGATAATTATCATAGAATCGCAGACAAATTAATCATTCGTCGTTTAATTAAACCAATGGAAATAAGATTATGCCGTTATGTCTGTAATAAGGAAAAATGACTTATAATACTAACAACTAAATGATTTACCCGCACATACAGAAATAGTTATATGAAATATATAAACAATTTTTTTGAAACCGATTATATATTATCACTTGATATATAAGTGTGAATATTTGAATATGATTTAGTAACTCATATATTTTGGAGATTTTATTAGTTAGGAATTAGGATATTCCATATTTGGAATAAGATTTTAAATTAAAATATTGACCAAAGTTTTTTTTTGAAATATCATTCCTATAATTCTGAAATATATTCGAATATTTTTTGTATTTTAATTAAGATTTTATTTTGG